ATGCCTCTTTATGCACTATGTATATTACTAACTTCAAACTTGTGATAGTACTTGACTGGCACAAGCTTCATATATAGATTCTGGCACCATGACCAACAGTCATCAACCTGACGTTTGAAATGCATTTCTAACATATATTTAATGTCAAGCTCTTCTGTATTTTGGACATAATGGGGTTTGGATTTCCTAGAACTCACTGATGTAATTTCTTTAGCTTCTAATGCACATCTTCCATTTACCTCCTGCCCCACCCCCCCCCCCCCCAAAAAAAAAAAAAAAAATAGAAATAACCCGGATGGTTAGCATGAGTTCATGACACATACTAGTTTGAGAAGCCAGCATTAATGTGAAAGACAACTACAATGACTTAATTGAGTAAAAAAGCTTGGTGAGCATTTGGAAAAAGGAACTGCGACTAATCCTAGTCAATTTCATTGTTCTACTGAAGTTTACAGTCCTCCATGAATGAATCAGATGTAGTACTGACTCAAAAGCAGAAGGAAATCCAAAATTTCCTACTAGGATGTTGCATTTACTCCCTACCTCACTGTCTTCCTTTACAGATGTATTATGATAAATTTGTGGTCTGTACAATCAATGTGGAGTAAATTCGACAGTATGTATGCCCAGATATTTATGGATTTTCATTAAAAGATCATACACACACATGCAGTTCTTTTTTTTTCTTTTTTCTTTTTTTTTTTTTTTCTTTTTCTTTTTTCGGACCCTCAAAACTGTTGGGAAAAATAGCACAGCGAAATAAATTAATTCATGTGAATAAAACACGTGAACAATAACAAAGAACGGTGAAATAGGCGGCTTAATCGACCAATATTAACGGTTAGTGAAAAAGGCGGCTTAGCCGACCAAGTAAAAATAAAATGGGCGATTCAACCTGCCACTTAAGAAATATAAATAAAATGGGCGGTTCAACCAGCTACTTAAGCGGGAAAATAAACAAGCAAAATAACACCAAATTTTACATGGAAAAACCCCCAAAAACTATTGGGAAAAAAAACCACGGACAAACTCCGAAGGGTATTTCACTATGTGATAAAATTGTACAGAGTATACACTCAAGTATTTTTCTCTCTCTTGGTGTTTCCCACTCTCCCAGGATATGATCACAATCCTGATAAACTCACAATTTTATCATTCAATGTACTCTCTCTATGGAGCACACTCACACCTAAGCTTTTAATAGCTAGCTCTCACCCCTTTTTTTTTCTTTCCCCGGAGCCCTCTTTTTGCTCACTTTGGTGCTGCACTCTTTGCTTCTTGCTTTTTCTTTCTTGCTTGCTTATTGCCTTGCCATTGCATGCTATTTATAGGGTAAAAAACCCAACTACCCCGGTGCAAGTTTTCTACCTCATTAAATGAGGTTCATGCACAATGGTTGAAATAACCATTGTAAATTTCCACAATGGCTGCTGTAGCTTACAGCCTCTTGCAATAGGTGGTAGAAAAATGGGCTGGAACTAGAAGCTTCTGCCAACAAAAACTGTCTTGAAGTGCTTTTATCAAGGGTATTGCATAGAGCTTCAATCTTGATGAAGTTAACATTAGGACTTAGGAGTTCTAGCATAGTTGCAGCAGCAGATCAGCAAGAATAAAGAGAAAAATTCAGTTAACAAAAACCATTCCTTATTTGATTACAGTTAAAAAAAAAAAAAAATCCTTATTTACCATTGTCATATATATGAAAACAAAGAAAAATGCTTCCTCAGTTCAGTTCTAGTATGCTGCCCCTATCTTCTGATTTATGAATCGGCAGTTAGTATGGAAATCCTATATTCTCTGGCATTTCTTATTAGAAAGGTGGATTTATTTCACAAAGAACAAAACTGAACAAAGCCACGGATATTCAATCAAGATATATTTTGCCTTCATCATTCAGGTGTTTCTTTTCAGTATAATATTGCTCAAAATTCAAAAAATCAACATTGAAATTCAAATATGTCTAGATTTTTCTGTTCATTTTCTTTGGAAGTACTGTCTTTCTCAGTTTTTTAGACAAGGGACATTAGGCGTTGTAGAGCTAGATCTTCCCTCTGCATTCTGGCAGTAGGCATATGTTGTCTTCCCTGGCAGAGATGAGGTTATGTTGATTTGATCCATTAAAATGTTCTTGCAGCCTATTACCACACTGCAATCCAATGTGATTGCTTGCATATCTGCTGAAGTTCCTTGTATATCACTGTATGTCACTTGACTTATTTCTACTGCTGATGCCTGTATCATTGTTAAAATTTGAAGTTTATAAGCATCCAAGATACTGAGAATTGTTAGGTTTGACATAGAGCTTTGTAATGGTTACCTGATTTGTGTGATAGCGGCCGTCCTTCCGATAATTCTGGTCAATTATAATGGGATTTCCAGCATCAATGAGAGTGATATGCTCAAAGGTGATTGCCCTTGCAAATCCGGATCCTCCCTAAAAACAAACAGGATTTTTGCTAATATACTGATTGACTAGGAGAATCTAACGTTTCTTTGAAGAATTTTCATCATGATATATTGTTACCGGCCATGTCTTGATTCTTGCTCCATTCTGAGTTTTTTGAAAGGTGCAATGCTGCACATGAACCTCTTCCGCTGTCTCCTCGGCTCCATCTTTTCCTAGACTACCAACACTGAAAACGTGCACCATTCAGTTACACATAAATTGTGAGTTTTCTTTTACAAAATACGAAGGTTTTTCCTTGTTTTCAATCTTCTTTGGGAGAAAATGTGTCAACAGAAGTTTTTTCTAACTATTTCAATTACCATGACATTGAAGTTCAGCTTATATAATGAAAACAGTGTCACTTGACAAACCTTATGCCATGACCAGGTCCACACACAACAGAAGTAATATTGATCTGGGACGAACCAGAATTGATAGCAACACAATCATCTCCTGTTGTTGAAAAAAAAAATATCATCTCCTATAATTTTTTCATGTAAAAAAAGCTAGCAAATCAATATCAGAATACATTGGAAAGGCAAATAAATATATATGTTGTCAAATTACCAGTTGCAATGTATGAATCATGTATGTTAACTTGGGTGGAAGCAGATATATCAATCCCATCAGTGTTAGGGCTCGTCCCAGGTGCAGTGATATGAAGGTTAAAGATGGATACTACATGGCAGTCATTAATCGCAATATGACTCATTGGACTGTTAAGATGATTAAGTCCACTTAGTCGAAGATTGTTGCAGTTGTTGAAATGTAAAGCCTGCAATTTATCTGGTTAGAACTTTTTAAATATTTTTCAGCTACTTGAAAGAAGAACATGGTTTTACCTTGGGTCTTTGGCAGCCCTTTTTAACCTGAAAATGAAATGTTTAACACTCAGTTAATCAGTACCTTGAGTGCTAAGCAATCGAAACCAGAAATTGCATCAATGCAAAATGCCTTACATTGCCCCACCAAGCAGAACCTTTGCCATCAATTGTTCCTTCTCCATCTATCACCAAACCATCCACGTTAGTGAAGGATATCCAGTAACCTGTTTGGCAATTTTTCCATTCTTCAATACTATTCGGTGCCACAATATTCCCAAAAACCTGACATTCATCAAAAGTCAGCAATGAACTTAATTTTCATGCTCAAGTAATAATTGACTAGTTCTTAGATTTCATGTGTTTAAAACATTTCTTTGCAAATATTTCACCTGAATACCGAGGTTGCTTGATTTGCAAGGACCTTCGAAGGCAATGGGCTGCAGTAAAAATTCGCCAGCCGGTATCTGAAGTATGCTTCCAGCTTGAGTGGCTCCACATAAAGCATTCCACGCAGCTCCAAAAGCCTTGCATAATTCCATTCCACATCTTGTTATATGCTCAAGAATTCTTTCAATTTTACTTTTCTTAAAGTTTGTCCTATATATATATATATATAGAGAGAGAGAGAGAGAGAGAGAGAGGGAGAGGGAGAGGAAATTACTTGGGAATTATCAGTTTTTCCATCTCCTTTGGCACCAAAATTGACCACATTGAAAGCACTTTTCCCATTTCCAATGCCTAAAAAAGATGCAGCTACACAAAATACAAGCAGAGCGACGAGCAGATCCTGCATTAAGAATCCAAGAAAGAAAAGAAAATCACATACAAAGCAAGGTACACAAGAGTAAGACTGCAAAATTTAGCATTTTCTTACCATTTTATCAAGAAAGAAACGCATGAACAGATAAAACTAGCTTAGTTTACAGCTTCAATGGAGGGCTTATGATTGGCTTATGATGCCACTACTGCATTACCCATATATATATATATTAAAGTCAGATTCCTCTCAATTAATGACAACATTAATGAGGTAGGAAACAATATTAGTTGAAAAATTAAATTTTTAAATCTAAATTAAGTATGATATTTGAGAAGCGGTTGGTGTTAATATTGCCACTCAATTACTAATGCCACAGGTATGGATAAAAATTAGTTAAGAATTAAAACATTACTAACTCCACCTTAAGAAGGTGTTTAAGTACATCATTAATCATGTTGAGGTTAAGATAAAATGGATACATGATATCAACTTTTGTTTTGTCTTAGGGTATGTTTAGATAAAAATTAGTTAAGAAAAGGAAAGGGAAGGAAAGAATTACAGTTAAAATTATTTGAATAAATAAAAGTGAAGGAGTGGGGGAAATGATACTTTTATTTAATTCAATAATTTAAAGAGAAATAAAAAATAAGTAATAAAATTTTTAAATTTTACTAAATAAATAAAATAATATATAATTATTAGTTAAAAAATTTTTAAAATTAATTAATTAATAAACAAAATCAATCGCAATCCCTCCAAATTGGAGGGATGAAAATCAAAGGAATGAAGGAGCCTTCATCTCCCTCTCCTTCCATTAAAAATTGATAATCTAAATAAGAAAAAAGGCATCTTTCCCTCGCTCTCCTTCCCTTCCCCTCCAAACCCCTTAATCCAAGTACACTGTTGTGGTTTTGAATGTCTTAATTTGTTCATAGTTAATGGTTTGGAACCACTGAAAATGATGTGGAGTAACTTTTGCACTGTTTGTTGGATTGGAAGATGTTTTGTTTTCCATTTTTATACACGTTTGTTTAGCGTTGGCTTCTCTAACCGGCTCGGCATAAAATTCCGAAGCTCTTGTAAGTGCCAAAGACTAGACGTGAAAAAATAATATAAACCGAATGAATGTGAATTTGTTGTGGCACAACCTTTGCTGCCAACTATTTCTCTGTGGCAGCATATTATATTTTGATATTCTGTTTAGAGTGGCAGGATGTTTTAGTCATTCAATGTTAATTGTCATGGTTCTACTTTAGCAAAGAAAAAGACATAAGAAACCCACCCCATATTTGCAATTTGAATATAAGAAGGATTTTGTCAGTCCAAATTGGAAAAATTACTTGTTTGAATTTAAACTGACAAAAGTACCTTTAACATACCAGTCCGTTTGAGAAACAACGTCCTCACTTGTATATTGCACTTCAATTTCTTGAAGTTGTAATTCAGGGACTCCCTAGTCCCTAGAATCCCGCATGGAAAAGAATCATTCACCGTGTATCTAAATACAACTTTACCATTTTCATCTTCTTCATTGTGGGCAAATTGCAGTTGCATTCTGTGGTTTGGTGTCACTGCATTTTGCCCTCTTAACTTCTAAAGGTAGCCTGCCTAATTTAACAAAAAAGACATGAAACTTTTCAGAGAACTATTCACCTTTATGAGGAAAAAACACCCTCTCTCGCCTCTCCATATCATTTTGATGGGAGAGCAGACAGTTTTGTGGGTGCCGAACCAATGGAGCACCGACTGTTTTTAACGGTCAGAGCGTTCACTAATCAATCAATCTGTGCCTAACACTAGGCACCGTGACGATGGGAGCAGAATCACGCCAAGACGTCGTTTAGTGCTCTCGCCTCTCGCCCAAAACATAAAAAATCCTATTACTCTTCGACAAGTTCCATGCAAAACAGGTTAATTAAATTCAATATTTTATAGAGGACTCACTTTTAAGTAAAAGTATTTTTTTGCATCTACAGTATAATCTCTAAAGGTGTAATAAATCTATATTTTGATTATAAATTATATTAAAAAAATAAAAATTATCCTTTAACTTCTCAATCATATTTAAATTTATTTAATTAACAACACTAAAATTAATATCAATATTTACATTTTTAGATATCTTTATATATATATTTATGACCAAAATATACAAAATGAAAAAACCTAAATTAAAATCAAGAAATTAATAACGATTTCAGTCATTGATTGATTTCTCTTTTTTTTTTTTTTTTTAAAGAAAAGACTAAACAAATATTCCAATCACAACCATTAGGATTCAGTTAAAATCATCCACCAAATCCAAGCGAAAGTAAGAACTTCCCAGCTAGAAAGACTACCCAATTATGAATTAAAAAGTTACTTCCACTAAATAAATGGACATACCAGCAAATCAGATATAAGGAGTTACACAGCAAATCAATATCACATATATATAATCATAAGGAACTCTATATAAGTAGCTAAAAAGAAACGATGCCCCAAAAGGGAAAATTCCCCAACCAACTTAAGGAGCATACTAAGAATTTCCATCCATTGGTTAATTAAATCAAATCCCGATATTACTTTAAAGCTACAATAATTCATAAGCAGTTGTGTAAACCACAAGGACATCTGCCTCCTCCGGAACCATCTACTTTAACCATTCCACATTAGTTTTAAGCAAAAATACACAAAATGACAGCAGCATTTATAATTATACTAACGACTCTGCCAATTCGACCGATGCATGAACCTCTCCATTATGATGGCACTGCATAAAACAAACAAATGGATATGGGTTGAGAAGATGCCAAGGATGTACCAGAAAGAGATGAGGGGTAAAAAACCAGCGTCATAAATATGTTAAATGGGTGATGTTGGATAAAACAAGACTAAGGTCCTGTTTGGTGGAGCCTCTTGAAGCTTTTACTTTTTTAGTACTGTTTATGAGTCATAAGTTTAAATTTTTATTGAGAAAAAAATTTAAAAATTACTTTTAGAAATAATAAGAAGTGAGTAAAAAGGAAATTTATAAAAAAACAAAAGTTTGAAGCTTTTCAAAATTCACTGTTTAAAGTCTTTTTAAGATTAAAAAGAAGTTAAAAAATGTAAGTTTTTAAGAGGAAATTTTAAACTTATGAAAAATGAATAGTGTCAAAAAGTTGAAGCACTTACAAGCTTCACCAAACATGCTCTAAAGTTGGAAACTAATTTAGCATTTGAGTAAAGCCCTGATTATGAGGTCTAGTGACATGTAGAATGAGTCATACAACTTATACTCAAAAGTAAATGAGATGATATGGTAAACATACTATATGTTGACGTATCAATCTGCTCAGGAAGCTCCTTTATATCCACCTCAAACCTCTCCTGGACCTGCAGTGAAATCGACCAAGTATTAGATGTAACACACCATCATATATTGAAAGGAAAAAATGTAGAGAATGTAAATTACAAACCTGATTCAGAACATCAGAATCTGAAGCAGATGAAACGAATGTAATTGCAAGACCCTTGGTGCCGAACCTCCCAGCCCTACCAACCTGCCCAAAAGAATCAACAGGAAGCAACAGCAGTCAGATAGCTCATAATGCAGGAAGCAGAAGAACAGGCCACCATTGAACTGTATAAACTCAATTAAGACAAAACCTACCCTGTGCAGGTAAGTGTCTGCAGAATCAGGCATATCATAATTGATAACAATGTTAACACGCTCAATGTCAATTCCCCTGCCAACCAAGTCTGTGGCTACAAGAATTCTTTTATGCCCTTCCTTGAACCCCTTGTAGCGTGTCAACCTACAATAACATCAGCCAATTTTAAGTTCTAGTTTGGTCAGCACCCAGTAGTAAATCAAACAAGCATAATACATGCACACTAAAACAACTATGTCAATATGATAAACATGAAACCAACAATCTCTCTAGAAGTAAACAAATCATAAACCAAATGACCTAACTTAACAATAATAATGTAATAACAAGACAAGAGATATAGAATATCATTTTCAGCACTTAATAACACATTTGAATAAGATTACATCTCAATCGCAAGGGTTTGCAGAATGAGATGAAGCATTTCCTACTCTTGGAAAACTTTATTAAATTTCAAAAATAAACAAAAGCAAACAAATCTGAATCAAGTACTTTAGTTCATGTCTATATTACTTTAGAGCAAAATTTTCAAATTAAAAAAATTAAAGAGAGAAAGGGAAAGTTTACTTCTCATAATTCACTCAAACCCATACACTTGAGAGTGTAACAATACTACAAACTATTTTACATTATTAATCTAGAGCAAAATAGAACAATATTGGACCACAAAAAAGACATTTCACAATATCTGACCTAGTCCAATCACTAAAACATATAACATTCAGTAGGACTCTTGAAAATACCAGAAAAACTGAAAAAAAAAAAAAATATATATATATATATATATATCATACATAGCATACTTTGGAGCAAATTTATACGAGCTTTCCCATCCAAAGATGCCATCCAAAAATAAGTTGAGAATCAAGTAACTTATTTTACACAAAGAAATACATACTCCAACAAAACAGAATAACTTAACAAATCAAAAAACATGTAAATAACAAAGTGAAACAGTATGAACACACCTCTCTTCCTGGGACATGCCAGAATGTATGCATATAGAAGGAAAATTGCACTCCACAAGTAACTTGTTCAACTCAGCTGCCCGGTTCACACTTTTGACGAAAATAACAACTTGGTTGAAGTCCAATGCGTCAAGAAGGTCATTCAACTTCCGATTTTTCTCCATCTCGCTCAATTTGATGTAGTGCTGTCATTTGAATGTTAAGATAGTTTAAGCTGAGTGAGATCTTGCATCAAAAGCTATGGGGAGGAAGGGGGTGAAGGGGATGTGCAGAGTTAGCTTCAATGAACATACCTGTACCAACCCATGAAGGGTTAACTTGGCCTCGTCGTCAACATAAATTTCCATTGGCTGAAAGGAACAAACGTCACAGTAAATCATATTAGGTACCTTCCTCATGGTAATGGAATCCAGTACGAAATGAATGATGGATGCACATCCCTTGATTGAGATTCTGGTCCATCCACTTTGCCTCCTTGCAGATACATTGCTTAGTTACAGCAACCAAGCGCTATCCTTGCCCACATTATTCTATTAGATGGCAAAGTGCCCCAAACAAAATCCCCCACCCTTCATAATACCCCAACTTCGAGCCCACACCCAGCACCTAAATAAAAAAATCTAAAGAAACATTAGACAGAAGTACGAGTTGTTTACGCTACTCCAACTTTCCAGAATCACCTAAATTGTTGGGACCTAAAAACCCACCATTAACCTTCCCCCATTGGACTGCTTAACCCATAAATAACTAGCTGAAGCCACTGCATCCAAGCAACACCAGTGCAAGCAAGTATACAGAGATGGACCCCCCAGATCCTAACATTCTACAAGAATCTCGGAAGCTGGGAATTAATATAAAAGACGTCTAAATTGAAGTAGTATTGGCCATGGGACATTACATCTTGCATAAATTTCTTGCACACCGGACGGATTTCCTTGCTCAGGGTAGCTGAAAACATCATAACTTGCTTGTCATGAGGAGTCATCTTGAAGATCTCTTGGACATCCCTCCTCATGTCTGCAAACCGCATATAACTCATTATAATGAATACTTGCTACAGAAGAATGACAAACTCAAATCATAAAGGGAAAAAAAAAATGATATACTGTTTAAAATCTTAGGATTTAGCATACCAAGTGATTCAAGCATCTTATCACATTCGTCAAGAATGAAGTGCCTAACGTTCTTCAACGAAAGGTCCTTGTCTCTGGCAAGAGCCAAAATTCTTCCAGGTGTCCCAACAACAATATGAGGACACTCATTTTTCAGTAGATCTTTGTGAATTTTGATATTCACACCACCATAGAAGACAGCAACCTTTATATCAGGCAGGTAAGTACTGAACCTCTCAAACTCATGACAGATCTACAAAAGTAGAGATTAAGAGGATGACAAAGATCAGTTACCAGATTAAGGGAAAAGAAAAGGAAAATTTTTAGGGCCAGAAGCCTAGACGTAAACATGTGGAACATCTTAATACCTGGTAAGCCAACTCCCTCGTATGACACAAAACAAGTGCAACAACTTGCCCTGGAGTAGGATCGATTTGCTGCAGCGTTGAGAGAACAAAAACTGCAGTCTTACCCATCCCAGATTTAGCTTGGCAAATGACATCCATGCCCAGTATAGCTTGAGGAATGCACTCATGTTGCACTGGTGAAGAACCAAAGAAAATTGTATCGAAGGAACCCTTGGTGAGTAAAATATAACTTTCCGATCCTCTTAATTGAAACTTTTAACAAAACCATAATACTGCTCCAAAATCAATAGGTTATAGTGCTGCATAATATTACCTGCCAAAAAAATACATCAGACAAGATATCAGATAAAGGGCCTTTGCCAACAACCAAAAGCAACATAGTCCCACAATAAAAATAGTTAATAGACAAACAAGACAAACAAGACAAACAAGGAAAACAAGTCCATACGGCAGCGTTGGATCTAAAGGCACAGTCAAACTATTAACAAAAAAAAGGGAGATAAGTGACTCGGTAATTTGCCTTCAGAAGGATGCTCAAAACCAGAGTCCACAATAGCACGAAGAAGTTCTGGCTTCAAAAGGAAATCCCTGAATCCTGAGCTGTGTATTCCGACATATCCCCTAAAATAAAGTAAAATAAAATAAGCAGAAAAATCAAAACTTTGTTACAACTTGTACCAACCCTTTTGCAATAAATTCTTATTAGAAAAGGAAAGAAGCTAATAACAACTATTACAATTAATAAAAATTTTCCAACTTACTTCTTGGCGGCTTCGCCATTGACTTTGCCTGTAGCAGAGTCGGGAGCTTTTTCTTCTTCTTCTTCGTAGTCGAGAAGCTCTTCCTCGTAGGCATCGTTGTCTCTTGTTTCTCCCATTTTCTAAAACATACATCACCCATAAATTCAGGGTTAGAACTTCCACAATCCAATCGAACACCAAGCAAGAAACGCAAATTAGGAATTTTGAAAATAGATCTTAGAGAAGCCAAAAAAACACTCTCAGAATCCAACCAGAACCCAGAAACGCAAAATTAGAGTTTTGAAAAAGACCAACGAGAAACCAAAGAAACTAGGGTTTTGACCGACGAAATTCCATACATAGAACCGAGATTTTAGATTTTACCTGTGAGAACTCGACGAGCGAAGAAGATGAGATTTCTAGGGTTAGGGTTTGTAGAGTCTGCAAAGGAAAAAGGTTAGACCTGAAAAAAAAAAAATAGATCTTGAAAGTGTCGAGTTCTGGAGAGTATGAGGAGAGAGAAGGATAGGGTTTGAAGCGACTGGAGAGGGACGAATATAAACAGAAAGACTTATTGTACTGCCAAAATTACCCCTACTGTTTTTCGATTAATTACAATGATGGTGTCTGCACATTGCCACCCGCTCCCCCGCTCATTTGGACTTTTGAGCCCAATCCACTAAATTCAGCCCATTCCAGCCCCAATCCACAAACTTAGCCCATATTGTCAAACCCAGCCCAACTACATGGGCTTCTTGAGCTCAGAACTGATGGATGTTGGGTTATTCATCTCAGCATCGGATTCTGTAAAAATAGGGGAATCATCGCGCCAGGTAGGGGTCGAACCTACGACTTTCTGCTTAGGAAACAGACGCTCTATCCACTGAGCTACAGGCGCTCTTTGGAGATGTGTTTCCTTTAATACTTATTTATTTGTAATCTTAAAAAAGGTGGGACTTATTCCAGCTAAGTCTCATCATCCGTGACTATGACTGAATGTAATATGTATATTACTGTCTATTCTCTAAATAATGGTCTCCAGTGTAATCTTTCCTCAGTTTGGAACTGCTTTGAACCTTTAATACGGATGAGTATTCAAGATTGAGCAAATGCATACATGTAGATATTTTGTATTTTGGATTTTATTCATAAAAAGATGCCTTTCAACAATAATTTTTATCCCCCACAGACTTAGAGAGGAGTACTTTGCCAGCCACATATCTATGTCTAGTGTGAATGGTGTTGCTCTCTGTGATGGTTTAGGTTTTCATTAACAAAAAATTTAATCCCAAGAATAATTTCCCATGTACTCATGAAGTCTGTCTTGGGCAGTTGTTAGACCTATGGCTATGAACTAGTTTGACATTATTCCTAGCTTGGTCCAAAAAAGACGTACCCTAAACTTATGGATATATATTTCTTTCTATTTTGTAAGATGTGTAAAATAGAGTTTGGCCTTAAATGGCCAAAATTGGGTTTTTAAAAGGAATTTTATAAAATTTGGTAGTTGAAGTGGTCTTATTATTAATATAATAGGTTTTCACATTCACACTTTTATAGTAAATTTCTAAACATTTTTTTTTTCATTTACAAGATTTTAACTGTTTGTTTTAGTACAAAAAAAAAATCTCAAGAGGAATTTTTTTTTTATATTAATTGCACAACGGAAAACAATTCTCTTCGATCTCTTATCTCATCCTACCCGCATATTATGCGATTTAAACTCAATATCTCTTACTTCTAACGAAAATAAATTACTACTGAATTTTTTAAGTCGTTGAGAAAAAAAATTTTAAGTAGTGAGATTTAAAATTTAAAATTTAAAATTTGAATTTTAAAATAAATAGGAAGGAATTAAGAAAATAGAAAAGTTAAGAAAGAAGAAAATTTATTTTTTTATATAATTTACTATCTAATATATATATACATATATATGGAACTCACCATCTACAGAGATGAACATCTCTAACCCAAGTCCAATGCGAATGGGTCACAACGGGCATCCGTGTGTGTATATATATATATATTAAAAAAAAAAGGTGGAAATTTCATTACCTTGCCCGAACAAAGAAGAAATTTCAATAGCAAAATTTATTACAAAAATAGAAAAGGTACTGCTCTTGACAGTTGCTCGTTGGTAATTGGTCAGCGGTCTCATGTGCGTACTTAAGAAACACATGGGTTGGCCGGTTGCCAGAGGGATTTTGATTAGTGAGAGATACAAGGAATCAACATCAAATGACGCATTCGACCCCCAAAAAAAGGGGAAAAAAAAATTGAACACATCAAATGACACAGGACCACTCACAGGCACCAATCTTTTTTCTGTCTTCTATTAAGTTAATAATTGCACGAGATGGCTCATTTAGCTTGTGTATTACGGTATTATTGATAACCAACCACTCATGGCTGCCCCCATTCTGTGTCAAACGTCAAGCCCACTTAACGTTTTCGAGCTATCTGAATTTTTTTCAGATTCCATGCACATATTTTCCTGGAAAATTTCTACAGGTTATTTCAACCTGTGAATGGGTAACTTCATGAACAAAAATAGAAACAGTACAAAATCACAATGTGGGCATAATTCCCTGCAGCATCCGTTAATCCATTTCTTCATCAGTCATTTTCTTCCCACATGACATGCTGTATTCATAATTGGATATGATGTTTAAGTGTGATTCAGAAATTTATTCATTTTCCCCTCAAATTATTGGAAGCTGAATTGAAGAGCTTGAAACACAGCTTATTCAACAAGTAATGAAGAAGTGGGAGAAACAGCCAAACCAGATTATCAAGGAAGGAAGGCTCAACATTTCTAAATATTTGCTCTGTTATTCATGAACCTGAGACAGAATTAAGCAGAAACATTCGTTCTTTTCCTGAGAAGTTCATCAAGGCATATGGCTTTATAAATATATACATTTCAGAATTACGGACATCTTAGATATATAGCCTAACTTTAACTCTGCCTTGCAGAAATTGTATGTAAAATTTCACACCTGAAAAGGACTAAGAACTTTCTTTCTGAGCACCATTTGAAGCAGGAGTCGCAGGACAATTCCAATTGAGGAGTTCTTCTATCATCTGCATTGCAATGGCATCTTCTTCACTAATTTCCCTCCCAGATTCTTCAACCTCAGCCGCCGGAGACCCTGATGAAAACGCAGACCCCTCCTCTATTGCCATCTTCTTGTCCTTGTCCTTTCCTAGCTCAACCCTCATGACCCAGTTGGACCCTGAACTTGACCCTGCACGTTTCTGCCAAACTCCGATATGGGAATTGTCAGTGTCAAGCCTCAAGCAAGTCAGGGAAGGAGATTGATCTTTGCAACATTTCTTGAGCTTAGCATTCAGTAGCTCGGATAGAGCCTTGGTTGGCAGTGGAGAATCACCAGGCTGACTCTTTGTTACCGGAAAATTGGTCTTGGCATTATGTCCATTCATCACTATTGCTGCTTGGTCATAAGCTCTAGCTGCTGCCTCTGCCGTCTCAAATGTCCCCAGCCATATTCTTCTCTTCCTGCATATCAAAGATCATAAACAATATGATAAGACCAGTTTGGTGATTTACCAACAACATGTTAAAAAAGAAGGTGATGTGATAATGTCATCATTACAGTAAAGGGTGGCGGATTTCAGACACCCAAGATCCCCACTGACGCTGGCGGACACCTCTGAACTTCTTCGATTGTACCATGTTTGGTGTATGGTCAGGGAGAGGGACTAGAGAGAAAAACTGCAGTGTTTCATAAATATGTGGAGATCTGGTTCAGTTTTTAAGGGGTGGTGAGGAAATTATGAAATTTACTGCACCCCATAGAGAAATTACATATGCATTGTCGGTGGATTGGACCTAAAGTCCAAGTAATTAGTACCTGCTGCAATAAAGATTTCACCTACACACATCCATGATAGAACCATAGGGTCATAATTCATGATTTCTTAACCACATACAACTTAATGGATGACAACATATATGCATGCTTTAACCATCAACACAAATCCTAGTTTCCTGCTAGAAAAAAGAGATAAAGAATCTGAATTTTTGTGATTTTTAGTGCAAAAAAAGAAAAAAAAAAAAATTCATCCAAGGTTTCATTTTGAAAGTTATAAATGCAACCATGTTCTAGTGCCACACATGTTATACGTACCAAAATTTACCAGAAGTAGGGCCTCCAAAGAATAACTAACTTTTATCTTGACGTAGCATTTCAGCCTTTCATTTTTATTAATACCATTCAGCCTTTTTTTTTTCCTTTTCGTACTGAGCTTCCCAAAATACAACTACGGTGGCCCTAAGATTGAAGATTTCTTTAGAGACTTCATAGGATGAAGATGCAGTCCTTGGAAATTCTGGGACATCCATTAAATGTGTGGGGACTTCTTAGTTTAAAGAAGCAACTAGAATTAGGGATATAGTACCAGTATTACATAAGATACCAGTCCTCCCTTTCTCTCCCCTTTTTCTTAATTTCGATCTTCTTCCAAGTTTCTAGCTGGTAAATTCTCGCTATACGAGGATAGAATTGATGAGAGACGATTATCTTATTTAACATAAAATAAATGAACAACAATAAATTCATTGCGATTCTCGAGTTAAATGATGATAACATTATTAGTCAATTATTAGAGTTTTTGAGGCTGCTAGACCATTGGGATGTGCGAAGCTCTGGGATTTGCAAAGGAGATAAGAACCTTTTGGGTTGGCATATTAATAAGAATGTAGGATGGTAGTTGATTTATAAAGCTGACTTTGTGAGTCGTGGCAAAAAGCCTTTTTAACTTTTGGGTTGGCATGGACTTGGTCTTCCTAGCATCAAAACTCTAGTTTTCTTTTGAGTTATTTTGTTGGTCACAAGTTGTGCTGACCACATGTACAATTAATGGACAATATGATTCCACCTCTTGCTTACAAGGAGAATTGGTTTTTACATAAAACTTTTAAATTAAATTTATATAATATTTTAATAATTTCAATACACAAA